GAGCATTAACAGAAGAGTCAAGGAACAGAGATTCAAGTTCTATCCCCAGCCCTTATTTGTTGAATGATTTGAGCAGTCCCTTTAAACCTTCTGGGCTGCAGGTTCCCCACGAGTAAAGATATGATCTCTAAGTCCCTTCCAAATCTATGCTTCGATGATCCAAAATACTTGAAAGGTAACACTGCTTCCAGTACTTCTGTGTGGCAAAGTAGTCCTGACTTAAAATGAGAAGATGTGCAAATGGTTTCTCAAGATATTATCCAGTGTGGAGCTTCTAAAAAATGCTGTCTCTTCATCAACTAACAGACACTATTTATTATCAGACGCCATTACAGATGTAGAGAATACAAAATTGAATAAAAAGACACTCCTGGATCATTTATCAACTAAGAGATTGTGGGCAAATGACTCAACTTCTCTGAACTTCAGAATCTTCAATGAAAAGGAAATAATGTCTTTGGCACATGTCTTCTGTTTTTAAATGAGGATTCAATCAGTTTACCTCAATAAAATGCACGGCACAATACCTAGAACATAAGTGTTCAATGATACTAATTGTTGTTGTTATTATTATTATCATCTCAGCCCTAAAAAAAAGGAAATCACAGTTTAATGCAAAAGGAGATGCAGACTCCCAGGTATCAAACAATTGTATTTAATAGGTTTGTTTCATTTTCCTTTTATCCTTCTCACTTCCGCATCATTGTGATTCTTTCTTTCTCTTTAGGCATTCCCACCATTCGGCAATGGGCTATTCCCACCATTTGGCAATGGGCTCTATCAACAGCCACCCTGGCAAGTCCCACATGTGAGTTTTTTCTTTATACTAGAAGTGAAAAATAATATTAACATGTTATATCTCTAACTAGTATGAGTTCATACTCTCTAAATGGAATGCCATATGCCAATCAGTGGAGAGTACAAAAAAAAAATCATCACATCAGTAATTATGTAGGGGAAAAAATGGTTTAATGAATTTTTTACTTGGACAAATTTGTGACACGAACTGTTGAAATCGCCAAACAACCACTAATAACTTAGTTAATGAATTGATTTTAAAGGACTGTGCTATTTCACTACTATTCCCCACTTTCCTAAGAGGTTAGAAAATAAAAAAATTATCTTCATTTAATGTAGTGGGGAAATTGAGACAAAATGGAGTTTGAAAATCATAAGATAAGCTCTGATTAGACTAAGATCTTTCCATGATATCTTATTATTTCTAGCCACAGATGTTTCATTATAAAGAATCTTGCAAAATAATATTTATGAGAATCTTTTAAAGTTTAAAATCATTAAAATAAAACAATATTGAAATTGCATCACAGGCATTAAAAATATAAATCACAAAATAAACTATTTGAACTAAAGAAAAGTTTAAAAGCCAATTGCTGTTAAACTAACAGAAGCATCAAATATTTGATGACTTTTTATTCAGCTATGGCATTGGTTTTTCTTGTCTATAACTCTATAACCAAGAATCCTTCTTATCAATAAGGAACAATTCACTCAAGGAGTCAGAGTTCCTTACTTTTTTTTTTTCTTTAAAAGAGTGACTTCCTTTCACTGGCCATTCTGAACTCAGGAAACTAAGGCTGTACCAGGTGAAGATTCAAAAAGCAGATAAGCATGATTCTCATGTTCAACTATGATCTCATCCACATAGAACTTCCTTAAGGTCTGTGGGAGTTGGACCAATCTTCTAAACCCTCCCCTGAGCAAACACTCAGCCTCCAAGTTTGATTAGGAAAATAAACCTTGCTCAAATAAAAAAGTTATAGTAATAATCCAGGAGAAATTGTCAGTTTGTCATCCTAAATGTGACATCGACTCTCTAAAAATAGCATCATTATTTAATCTCCATTATTACATGTTCTAATATGGATGTTTAGATCATAACAGCACTCAAATCTCTCTCTCTCTCTCTGTGTGTGTGTGTGTGTGTGTGTGTGTTGTTGGGGGTGATGGGGTGACTGCTAGGAGATGCAGCCATACGTGGTATTCTGAGTAGGATAATCTAGAATCCAGTTGAAGCCTTTGTATTTACCAGTATTCACTGATGGATTATAATTATAAAAATTATAATTAATAGATTGTGAGAGCTAATGACTCAGAAGCTAAAAACGAACAATGCTAATACCCAATCACTGACTTGAACTATTTTAAGACGCCATGAGTCATGCAAACAAATGGCAGCCTAGAACCTGGTTTTCCCTTGAGTTCATTATGCTTTTCACATTTCAGAGGGTACCACCAGGTTATGGACGTCCACCAGTCAGCAATGAAGAAGGCGGGGTGAGTGCAAGTAAAGCTACATTCCCCATTAGGAATAACAATCCATTAGCCTCGCTTTTTGATTCCTATATAATAAAAAGGTTAAAATTCAACACATGAATTTGTAGCTCAAGTGCCCATGATATAAGAAAAGGAGCCAGTAACAAAAATAAATGTGATATATCATTTCTCCTCTACATGTACTGAACTCTCTCCCTCCCTCTCTGCCTTTCTCCCCCACTCCCTCACTCTCCCTCTCTCTCTCTCCCCCTCCCTCTTACTCTCTTTTATTCTCTGTCTCTCTCTAAGAAGACTAACGTAATAACCTTTGCTCCAGAGTCTTTGGACTCTGGACAGTGATGGAACAACTAAAAAGCAGAGAAGGAAGGAAATGCAACCTAGAAAGTTATCCCCAGAAGGGAATTAAGTAATTATCTAACTCCTTCATTGTACAAATAAATTGAAGCCCAAAGAAGATAAATTACTATTCAATTTCAGCCACTGAGTTAGTGGATAAACTGGACCTAGAGCTCTTCTGACACCCTGTCCAATGGCTTCTTTACCACACCACACTAGAAGAGCCAAATGCATGTCACAGAGTGATACACTGTGAAAATATTCTAGCCCCCTGTGTCATCAGAAAAGTCATTATAGTGATTCTGGCATGGGACTCCACCCCTGGAGCTTACTTCCTTTTTTCCCCTAAATATATATGTCCTCAGTGAAATAGCTCTGGGGGATGAGGGGATGAGAAAGGGAGCAAGGAGGGAGTTAAAATAGTGACACTGGAAATTACTATGTAATGGCATAAGGGGCTTTTAAAAAGGGGTACCTGGCTGGCTCAGTCAGAAGAGCAGGCAACTCTTGATCTCCAGGTCGTGAGTTTGAGCCCCATGTTGGATGTAGAGATTACTTAAACAAACAAACTTTTAAAAACTTTTTTAAAAGTTAAAAAGTTTAAAAAATAAAATAAAAATATCCTTTTGAGATTGAAATTACCAGATAAAAATGATTCAGATAATTGTATGCATCCCAGAAACAGGAACTTTGAATTTTCAAAACAATAGTATGAAAAAATAAAGCAGAATGGCCCAGTTAACATGGGCATGAAAAAGTCTGTTTTTCCTCCTCCTGGGATGTCACTTAGCAGAATATCCTCAAGGTTCATCCATGTTGTCATATATCAAAGTTTCCTTCTCTCTTAAGGGAAATAATAGTATTCCGTGGTGTGTCTTTACCACACTTGCCTTTTCCATTCATCTGTTGATAGACATTTAGGTTCTACTGTGAATAGTGCTGCAAGTAGTAGTTGTGATTTGCAACTGCATAAAGTACAAGGGAGAGGAAATGAGGCTGGATGGAATAGTTGCGGGCCAGATGGTTATAAAAGAATTATTAGCGTGCTGGTGGTGGTGGTGGCGGTGTTATATAATGTATAACATTTGTTAGGTACTTACTAAGTACCAGGCACTGAGCTTTATAGCTGTTATCGCTTTTGACCCTCATGACAACTTATGAGTTAGATATTATTTTATCATCTTGAGTTTACAAATAACTGATGTTATCATAAATTGAGGTTAGCCCAAAGCATACTATTAATACTGATGGAACAGGGATTTTTAACCTATATCTGTGTAGAGCTCCACTCTTTAGACCTGCTTTTTATGTTATGCTATGGGGTTTAGAGTTTATCCTGTAAGGTAGGGCAACTTTAAATAATATTTAAAGAGGAAAGTGACACAAGTTCTGCCAATCCCCACCCCCAAACTCTATTGTTCTGGTGGCAGTGGAGGGACAAGATTAGAGGAAAGTAAGATCACACCCAGAGTATCCAGCAAGAAAACTATTGCAATAGTTCAAGGGTACTACGGATAGAGGAGGAGGGACAGGATGGAAGTTTAGATTTTATAGGACTTGGTTACTAATTGTCTAGGGGAAATAGAGGAGAGTAGAAACCTGGAAAACTGGGTAGATAGTGGTGAATGTTGTTTAGATATAGAATATTGGAGAAGGAAGTTTGGGGGTGATAGGCCCAATTAACATTCAGTTGGAGGTACCTATGAGATCTTTAGTGATGAAGTCTTGCTGCCTCAGCCTCAGGAGAGAGTGTCATGGGCCAGATTTATGGCTTCAGGAGTCACTGGTTTATACCTACATTGAGAACATTGGCCTGCAATAGACTGCTCAAGGCAGGTGTGTAAAATGAGAACAGAAGAATGAGAAGGATAGAAAATGGAATCCTTAAAAAAATAAAAACAAACAAAAAACCCCCTCAGATTTAGGATCCAGGCCTAGGAAGAGAAAACTGAGTGGTAACGTCAGAAAGAGTACCCCAAGAGAGAACCAGAAGGGAGCAGGGTCAAGGAAACCAAGGCGGAATTAACTCTCAAGAAAGAAAGCATAGCTAAGGTTTTAAAAGAAGCATATGGCTAATATCCCTATTACACTAAAAAATTCTGAGCAACACAGATGGTTAAGCGTCTGCCTTCGGCTCAGGTCATGATCCCAGGGTCCTGGGATCAAGTCCCACATCGGGCTCCTGACTCAGCAGGGAGTCTCCTTCTCCCTCTCCCTCTGCCTCTCCCACTGCTCATGCTCGCTCGCTCTCTCTCTCTGTATCTCTGTGTCTCAAATGAATAAATAAAATCTTTAAAAAAAAAAAATTCTGAGCAACAGCACGGTGGGGAACAAAGAGTAATTACTGATTTCCATCTTCTTCCCTACAGAATCCTTACTTTGGATATTTTGGATATCAGGGATTTGGGGGTCATCCTCCTTATTATTCAGAAGAGATGTTTGAACAAGATTTTGAAAAACCCAAAGAAGAAGATCCTCCTAAAACAGAGAGTCCGGCCACTGAGCCCTCGGGTAATTCAACAGGTCCTGAGACTAATTCTACTCAACCAAACGCACCCAATCCTGCAGGGAGTCAGAGCAGAAATGACACCAGCCCAACAGGAAACAGTGGCCATGGCCCAAACACGGCTCAAAACGGGGTTATCTCACCCTCTACCGTTAATGTTTCAGGCCAGGGAGTACCAAGAACTCAAATCACATGGGGACCAAGTCAGCCAAATATTCATGAAAATTATCCAAATCCTAACATCCAAAATTTTCCTGCAGGGAGACAATGGCGTCCCACTGGTACTATCATGGGGCACAGACAGAATGGGCCTTTTTACCGAAATCAACAGGTTCAAAGGGGTCCTCGGTGGAACTCCTTTGCTTTGGAACGCAAACAAGCAGTTCGTCCAGGAAATCCAATTTATCGCAAGGCTTATGCTTCTACTGCAAGAGGGAATTCTCCCAATCATGCAGGAAATCTGGGAAATGTCAGAAGAAAGCCTCAGGGACCAAATAAATACCCTATGGGAACCAATGTTGCTCCTCTGGGTCCCAAACATGGTACTGTTGTCCACAGTGAAAAAATCCAAAATCCAGGAGAGAAACCAGTAGGTCCGAAAGAAAGAATAGTCATTCCTACAAGGGATCCATCTGGCCCCTGGAGAAACTCTCAAGATTATGTAGTTAATAAATCAAATTATAAACTGCCTCATCCTGAGAGTAACATGCTAGTCCCAAATTTTAATTCTATTGATCAACATGAAAACTCTTATTACCCAAGAGGAGATTCCAGAAGAGCCCCAAATTCTGATGGACAAACCCCAAACCAGAATTTGCCCAAAGGGATTATTTTGGAGCCAAGAAGAAACCCATATGAATCAGAAACTAATCAGCCAGAATTAAAGCACAGTGCGTATCAACCTGTATATCCTGAGGAAATTCCTTCCCCTGCAAGAGAACATTTTCCTGCTGGAAGAAATACTTGGAATCACCAAGAAATCTCCCCATCTTTTAAGAAAGATCCTGGGAGACAGGAGGAACACTTACCTCATCCTTCTCATGGCTCTAGGGGAGGTGTTTACTACCCTGACTATAACTCTTATGATCCCAGGGAAAACTCACCATATCTTAGAAGCAATATGTGGGATGAGAGAGACGATTCTCCCAATAATATAGGGCAACCCAAAAATTCGCTGTACCCTATAAATACTCCAGAGCTGAAAGAAACAGTCCCTTATAATGAAGAGGACCCAGTTGATCCAACTGGAGATGAAACTTTCCCAGGACAAAGTAGATGGGGTATGGAGGAGCCAAGCTTTAAAGAAGGTCCAACAGTTAGGCACTATGAAGGCGAGCAATACACCTCAAATCAACCAAAGGAATACCTTCCCTATTCCATAGATAATCCATCAAAACCCAGGGAGGATTTCCCTTATGGTGAATTTTACCCCTGGAACCCAGATGAAAATTTTCCCTCATATAATACAGCCCCTACTGTACCATCACTTGTGGAGAGGGGCTCTTATGCTAATAATGCTGTTGGACAAGAAGAAAGCACTCTGCTTCCTTCTTGGAACTCCTGGGACCACAGGATTCAACCCCAAGGGCAGAAAGAAAGAAGGCCATATTTTAACAGAAATTTCTGGAATCAGCCAACAGCTTTACACAAAGCACCTCCTAGTCCACCACACCAGAAAGAGAAACAGCACTATCCCAGTAATTCCCCAGCTTGGCTTCAGAAAAATCCAACATGGCATGAAGGCGAGAATTTGAATTATGGCATGCAAATTACCAGGTTAAATTCACCAGAGGGAGAACATTTGGCTTTCCCAGACTTAATTCCTCCAAGTTACCCAGCAGGTCGAAAGGAAGCACATGTATTTCACCTAAGCCAGAGAGGCCCTTGCTGTGCTGGTGGCTCCACAGGACACAAGGACAATCCACTTGCTCTCCAGGACTACACTCCATCCTTTGGTCTTGCACCAGGGGAGAATCAAGACACCAGCCCTCTGTACACGGAAGATAGCCACACTAAACATGTAAGACATACCATCTCCCCTACAAGCAACCTGCCTGACCAAAGAAACAGCTCAGAGAAAAGACTGCCTGGAGAAAGTCAAAACCCAAGTCCTTTCAGAGATGATGTGTCCACTCTGAGAAGGAACACACCATGTTCAATGAAGAATCAACTGAGCCAGAGGGGAATTATGCCCTTTCCTGAAGCCAGTTCCCTTCAATCAAAGAATATGCCTTGTCTCACAAGTGACCTTGGAGGAGATGGGAACAATGTTTTGGAACAAATATTTGAAGGCAACCAGTTCAATGAAAGAACTGTTGATCTTACTCCTGAACAGCTTGTTATCGGTACACCTGATGAAGGCCCTCAGCCAGAAGGAATCCAAAGTGAAGTGCAAGGAAATGAGGGTGAAAGGCAGCAACAAAGACCATCAAGCATCCTACAGTTACCATGCTTTGGCTCCAAAATAGCAAAGTATCACTCCTCCAGCACTGGAACTCCATCTAGCGTTGGAAGGCAAGGCCCATTTGATGAAGATCCAGTTATGCCTACTGAAAGTCCGAACTCATTGTCTAGGTTAGCTACTGGGGCACAGTTTCAGAGTATAAACGTAGACCCACTTAATGCAGATGAACACACTCCATTTGATTCTCTTCAATTAGAGACCAATCCACAGGACCATGTGCAAGACTGCTTACTACTTCAGGCCTAGGGATTATCGCAACCAAACATTCTTTGGGGGAAGGAAAATACCTGATATTCTACAGTGGTTCCCCAACATCCCCCCACCTCACCAGACTCAATTAAGTATCTGACCCTCTTAGTGATCCTTAAGTTTTTCCCCATTCCAGCAATAGGAGTAGTGGCCCAGGTGATGCTGATGAGGTTGAGCCTCTGGGGGTTGCTAGATTCAGTATTGTCACTAATTAACACAGACCTTAAAAAGAAGTAGAAAGGCTATGACCTCCATCACCTTGAAACTTGGAAGCCACTTGTCTGGGTTAGTTTCCCTTTGTTTGCTGATTCTTCCTTTTTCTTTCAAAGTTCCATACTTGCAAAATTCTCTGGTTTTGCAAGACAGAAAGGCAGATGAACTTTCCATTTTATGCATGGAGATCTATATATCAGTATAATCCCGATGATTGTACAGTTTTTTCTTGTGTTGGTCTTTGTCAGTTTTTTTTCCTAGCTAATATTCTTTTGACATCTTTTATCTCCCACTACTTCTCTCTTTGCTCTATCATTTCCCTTCTTCCTTCTGTGTTTTCTTTCTGTCCACTATTCTGTATTTAGCTTCCTATTTTTTCTTTCCCATCTTTCCCGCTTTCTGTCACTTTTTACATCCTAGGCTATTATCCATCACTTGTCTTTACCTCTGTCTTCTTCGTTATGTCTTCCCCTCTTCCCATTTTCTGTTCTCTCTCCTAATGGATCACTTGTCAATCAATCCTTTTCTTTTCTTCCCTTCAATTTATCTTTTTCCCTGTTACACCATTTTCATATCTTAAGACCACATATCTCTCTTCCTTTTTGTATCTACTCTCCAAATCCTATGCTAGTTTTTTTGACTCAGTCTAACCATCATTGTAGAATATATTTCAGAAATAGTAGACACTGGTACCTACTTTTGTTTTTAATTTTCTCATGGCCTTTACCAGGTAGATACAGCTTAGCCAGAGGAATACATTCAAGAAGTGTGGGGGAAGACAGGCTAGTTACCTAGAGCTAGCAGCCTGGAGACAAGGCTTAGGAATGTGGGGAGGGAAACACTGTCACACAGGGACTGAGCATCCAGAAAAAAAGTGGGACTTGTCACACCCTATCACCAATTCATACTCTGCAGGACCTAGAGAGTACATTTTAGGAAACACTATCCTAATCAAATAAGAGAAACACTCTATGGTCAGTTTTCCTTAACAGTATAATATAAGTGATTCTACCAGCATATGCTACTACCAACATAAAGTCTTATTTTTCATGTCCTGGTAGAATTACTTGCAGACATACTTTCTTTGTATCCTGATTAAATAGTGTAAATTATTTTGTAAAGTAAATGTTTCTGTATTGCCTTGCTAGAATACATCCAGGGGTTTTGTTTTGTTTTGTTTTTGTTTGTTTTTAATAATGGCGTGTTGGACTACTATCTGTATATTCCTTCCTAGAGGGGAAGAATTCTTGGAATTATCTAGAAAGTTACTTCTAACTCTAAAGAGTTTCTTAGGAGAAAATTTCCTGGGACAGATTTTATAAGAAGATCTCAGAAATTTGAGAATATCTGTGTTGAAAACTTCAAGAGGAAAGGAATCTTGTCCTTTGAGTCTTCTGAATTTCTTGGCAGAGTGTCTTGCACATAGTAGATACCCAATAAATATTTATTGATTGACCAATTTTAAAACGGCTTTCAAAGCTCCCATGAAAATCCTGTGGTGTGCTTTTCCTGTGGGTATACTATACAGGATACTGAATTAGCCATGTCATACTCTGTAGCTTTAGATACTCAGCCACATTTGCAGAACATAGAATCTCAGGGTAGGAAGGGATCTCAGAGGGAGATGATTTAGGCCATCCACTAGTTGCCAAAATCCCCCCACCCGCACTTTTATATTTTAATCACACACTAAAAAGTCATTAACTTTTTCTATACAAAACTGTCTCTTAAGAATTATCCTCATCAAAATAAAACTACATTTTTTTGTTTTGCTTTCTTTCCAGTTGATTTTTAATCTAGATATGAATACTTTCTTTGTAAAATCCGCATTTGCTTCAGTATTTCATAAAACATATGAATCTTATAGTTGTTTTGGCAGATGTATTGACAAATCTTTGTCTATGAGGCACCGTAGTGTAAATCATCATCTAAGACATCCATAATGTAAAATGTAAAAGCACATAGGACAAAAATATCTATTGAATTTGAGATAGAGAGTGAAAAACCAAGGGGGTGGGGCATGTTCATGTAGAAAATCCCTTTATCTCATCAGCTCGGGTATCCTTGTACAAACCTGGACACCAGGCCTGAGTTCCCTACAGTAAAGTGATTATTCTGTGTGCCATTGGTAATTTATTAATAAGCTCTAAGGTCAAGGTGCACACGTGAAGATGGAAGACTCTGCGCATGATCCCCTTCTTCTCTAGCACCCACACCCCACCACCATAGCCCCACCTCTACAGCGAGTTCCTATGTCTAGAGGCTGTCACCTGTTGGTTCTAAAATGACTGGATATAGCCTGGTGGTGTCTTTTGTCAACAAGTAAATAGAGAATGAGAAAATAATACCTCAGGATAACAAACAGGGAAGATAATCCAGCAAAACAAACACACACCTGCTTTATAAGCTTTTCTGTCTTGCATCTTGCAATAGATTTCTCCAGAGGGTATTGGCCATAGATCCAGCTGGCTGGGGGAGATCTTACACTTTTTCACGTTAAGTAGGAAGAAAACTAAAATGACGAAATGTGGGGACAGCTACGTCTGAAAACTTGGCCTAGTAGCCATGGTCATGGAGGTTCTTCCTCTGGTTTTCAGATCCCCTGAACATGTTTTACTTTTTACTCCTATCAGAGTCCCAACTTTATACATTTTAAAGAAAATTCATGAGACATGACCTTTGAGTTACTTCTATTGCTTGCATTGGCACATCTCTGCCTTTCCTTAGCCCCCTCTCCTTCAATCAGGACCCTAAAGACCCTAAAGAAGATCTATCTTGCCCTCCGGAAACCAAACTTCATTTCTAAAAACCAAAAGGGGAACTGGAAATGTTGGACTTAAAATCAACAGTTCTGTCCCTCCTTCACAAAACCTCAAGGATTTCACTGTGACTCAGGCCAACTTCCCAATGAAAACTCAGAAGAACACTACACTTGATGGGAAGTAGGTCCTCACCTCTTCACAACGGAACATAGCTTTTGGTTTTGGCCACCTGTTCTTCCTTGCCTCTGCACCTCACCCCTAACCCAATAATATCAGCCACTGGACCTATTGTCTCACTTTAAATTCATGGCCAATGACACTTAGAAACAAATGTCAGCTGGTAACAAACAAAATTCCATGTTGGCAGAGGAAAATGCTTAAAATAGAGAAGGATGCAGCCGAGCTACAATTTGACGTGGACAAAATTGTGAAATTGATGAAGCTGTCCTCGATGCCCCGTCACCTGCTGGGGCAAGGTCCTCTGCACTCAGAGTGCTCCATTCCACCTGCCTGAGGACCCAGCACTCTCCCTTTCTGTGCTTCATCAGAACTTGGACAGCAATTTCCTCTGAGCTTATCCAAAAAACCGTGCCTCATTGTTTTCTGCACTGCACAAAGCAGGTATTGACTGTGCCTAACTTGGCAAAAAGATTCCTTCCCAAATATTGGCTAAAATGCAGGCCTCCCAGATCAATCAGCACACCCTTAAAGAGTGAATCCAATCATGGCATACTTCCAGAAGGATAACAGGGTAATGGTAGGAAATTTTATTTGGGTAGGCCCTTGTCAGTCCCTTAGCTATAAAACCACGCAGGCAGCTGTCTCTCCAACAGAGGACTCAGGCTCTTTCTGACAGTGTCGCATGCTATACCAGCATTTTGCAAGCTTTAATGTGCACCTGAATCTTGTTACAATGCAGATTTTGATTTCGGCGTCTGGAGTGGGACCTTTGGTTTTGTATTATAAACATGCCCCCAGGTGATGATGAATTAGCCAGTTGGCAGACCAAAGTTGGAGTGGCAAAGTGCTAGGCTATTTCCTATAAATAAGGGACAACTGCACACTCACCAGGGTGGGAACAGAAAGTTTTTTTGACCACTGAAAAAACTGAATATTACCAACCTGAAAGGATACGCATAAATAAAGCATGTAATTGGAATAGAGAACACAAAGAGAAAGAGGAGCAGGCCAAACCTACATTTATGTTATACTTCTTCCTGTCTCTGCATGACTCCTGTATTTCTAGAAAGTTCTACTTCCATTCTATTTCATTAATATCTCCTCCAAGACTACCCCAGCCCCAACATCCCCAGCTTCCCTGAGGGCTCACAGCACATCATCTTTTATATTTAATATTGCTTTTTTCCTGTGTTAGTTCTGCCTACGGAAGGAGAAAGAAAACTCCTAAAAAGTGAGGCCCAGTTTTCATCTTCCTTGCGTATGCCTCATAACACCTGGCACTGTGCTGAGCACAGAATGGATGCTAAATAAACATCGCTTTTTCTTTAAATACATTTTATAAATGAATAGAAATTCAGAATTTCCCAAATTTTAATATAATTGATATAAAATAAAAATTAATAATGATTAATATTTTTCTATTTACAAAATACACACTCACTGTTGAATATTTGGCAACTAATGAAAAGTAAAAGGAAACACATAATCCTACCTTCTAATGTTAATATTTTGTCCTACTTTCTTTCATATGTGTGTATGAGGGACGGGGATCTTAAAGTAATTCTTTTACTAAATATCCTACATTTCCCTCTTCACATTAAATAAGAAATTTCTATACAATTAAAAATACTTAATGCTTCATTTTCATTGTCTGAAATATTCAGAAATATACCTATACTATCATTCCCTTTGATGCTAGATGTAAAGTTTCTTATAAATTTTCATTATCATAAATAATGTTGTGATAAATATCTTTATGCCTCTTTGTCCATATTTTTTATTATTTCCTCAGAAGTGGAATTATTGAGGGAAATGATCTAAAAATGTATTTTATTTTCGGGATAACCTCCAAAGCACTGGCTTTGGAGTCTGAGAGTCTTGGATCCAGTTATAGGTTCTCCATATACTATATGAAAATCTTGAGAAGATTATTTCATCTCTTAGTATCTCAGTTTTGTGATTCGTAAAATGAAGACAGTCCTTATTTCATAGGGCAGTTTCGAGCATTAAATGAAAGGTGTACTAAAATGCATATGCGTTGTAGGTCATAAATCAACCACCAGGGGGCAACGGAGGTTTCGAATGTTAACGCTGTGGTTCCTAAGCAATCCCCAAACAGCCGCACCTGGGAATTTTTGAGACCTGGTATTTCTCCTGATGCATCCCAAAACTACTTAATCAGAATTTCTTGGGGTGGGGTCCAGCAATCTGTTACAATGAGTCCTCCAGGTGAGTCTCATGCAATCACTGATCTAATACATATTTACATTTTTCCTTGATTTGTTGCCTGGGCAAAAAGAAGAGCCAAAAAACAATTAACAAACAAAAACCACAGCAGTTTACAGAAGGTTAGTGAATGCTACAACAGCTGACCTAAGTGATTTACATACATTATGTATATTGGGGTTTTGCATTAAAAAAACTGTAAGATAGTAATTTTTACTCGCATTTTTCAATCTTAGATTCAATGAACTTACCGTTATTGACCTGTCATGCAGTCACTTAGTCTGTATTTCAACCTGGGCCAGGGATTTACCCACTATCCTACACTGCCACCCCAAAGCCAAGACCTGGGAAATATATCAAAGGTTAATTTTCCTATCCCACTGCTTCTAGGTTAGGGAGTCCATGCATGTCTGATTATGAATGTGTATACATTGGTGTATTTATGATGCAGTACTGTAATTATGATTCATTTTGAATATCAAGTTATATAAAACAATTAGAAATGACAATAGTCTTTTTTTTTATTCTTATGTTAATCCCCATACATTACATCATTAGTTTTAGATGTAGTGTTCCATGATTCATTGTTTGTTCATAGCACCCAGTGCTCCATGCAGAATGTGCCCTCCTCAATACCCATCACCAGGCTAACCCATCCTCCCGCCCCCCTCCCCTCTAGAACCCTCAGTTTGTTTTTCAGAGTCCATCGTCTCTCATGGTTCGTCTACCCCTCCGATTTCCCCCCCTTCATTCTTCCCCTCCTGCTACCTTCTTCTTTTTTTTCTTAACATATATTGCATTATTTGTTTCAGAGGTACAGATCTGAGATTCAACAGTCCTGCACAATTCATAGCGCTTACCAGAGCACATACCCTCCCCAGTGTCTATCACCCAGTCACCCCATCCCTCCCACCCCCCCCACTCCAGCAACCCTCAGTTTGTTTCCTGCGATTAAGAATTCCTCATATCAGTGAGATCATATGATACTTGTCTTTCTCTGTTTGACTTATTTCGCTCAGCATAATACCTTCCAGTTCCATCCACGTCGTTGCAAATGGCAAGATCTTATTCCTTTTGATGGCTGCATAATATTCCATTGTATATATATACACCACATCTTCTTTATCCATTCATCTGTCGATGGACATCTTGGCTCTTTCCACAGTTTGTCTATTGTGGACATTGCTGCTATAAACATCAGGGTGCACGTACCCTTTCGGATCCCTACTTTTGTATCTTTGGGGTAAATACCCAGTAGTGCAATTGCTAGATCATATGGTAGCTCTATTTTCAACTTTTTTTTTTTTTATTCATGAGAGAGAGAGAGAGAGAGAGGCAGAGGCAGAGAGAGAAGCAGGCTCCCCGCCCAGCAGGGAGCCCAATGCGGGACTCGATCCCAGGACCCCGGGATCATGACCTGAGCTGAAGGCAGATGCTCAACCATCTGAGCCACCCAGGCG